CCTTCACCGAGTCGACTTGGACAAGGAAAAGTATCACTGGAATGACGATATCCTAGAATAATGCTCCCTTCACCGAGTCGACTTGGACAAGGAGAAGTATCGTTGAAATGACCATATCCTAGAATAATGCTCCCTTCACCGAGTCGACTTGGACAAGGAGAAGTATCGTTGAAATGAGTATATCCTAGAATAATGCTCCCTTCACCGAGTCGAGTTGGACAAGGAGAAATTTTATTCAACTCATTTAAAGATAATTTCTGCTTTACCTAAGACAGGATGCTGTGTTTCAATGTCTTTATCAAAATGATTGTGTGAAAGTTATGTACTCGAGAGATTTTTAGCTAGACATGTTTTGGCAGAAAGGTGTTCCGTGTCATCTAATAGGAAAAAAATTGGGGATTTTTTTAGTAATTGTGGTTGTCCGAGGGGTAAAAAAATTTGATATATGAGAAAAAACATAGCTTTTTGAACACTTAGTATGGTGGAAACACATCAAGTCAATGATTAACAGGAGAGCAAAGTATCTTACGTTCTTTAGTGTTTCAACTTTCACCAAAAAGAGTAATAAATACCTTTACTCGAAGCTCTGCTGAAAATCTCCAAATTCATGAATAGTGTTTGTATTTGACACCTTAAAGTGATATTAAAGCTTCACGGTCCAAAATCTGAATTCTTGATTTCTCCCTCGTTTACCAAGTATATTCCTAACTTTCTATCAGAAAGGAATGAATGAAAAAGGTAACCTTCTCTCCCATGCAAAATCACTGCTGTGTTAACAAACATTTCAAAATTTTTTCGTTTAAAATAATTTCTTTTAAACTTTTGCTGTTCGCCCTAAGTTAGTCACAAGGGGGGGCTTCTATCATAACTATCATTCTATATTTAATGATCTGCCCAATAATAAAATATGAATGCATTAATAATACAGGAAGATACACACACAAGATAATACAGTGAGAGAGAAAAACGAATCTTTTCTTAAACAAAAAGATAACAATTAGTAACGCGCTGAAGTTCAATCTCCAATATCTCCACTGACGACCAGAAAAGGAGAGACAGTATGAACATAAGAAAAAAATCAACGTTGTTGAATTACACAAGAAACAGGCAACCAAAACAGAAGAGAAGAAAAAATGAATGATGAATTTGATTATACAATGATTTCAAAAAATGACACACGAGAAAAGAGGAATGGTTCAATGATGAGGAATGAATACGATTTCATGCCGTCAATTTCTCTTTGCAAGACTATTTGCTGTAGCAGCACCACGACGAGTTCTTCTGGTCTGTTTGACTGGTGAACCTGAAATATTCAAGGAACCTCAGTAATAAATCTCGTTAATTATCAAGCTGCTTACTTTCATCTTCGCCTTTGTCACCTCTTTCGTTTGTCAGATCATCTAATGGCTGTTCATCGTCTTCTGCTTGTTGTTTTTTTGGTGTGGCTACGGATGTTTTTCGTTTTGTCGACGTTTTTTTCCATCTGTGCTCGTTTTCACTTGTCGATTGTTGTTCAGAGGTGGACGCCGTTTTTTTTATTGGTCGACCCCGTTTTTTCACCTTTACTGTTGCTGTTAGTTGTCGTTCAGCTTCTTTTCTGCCATTTTTCAGTTGTTTCCTTTGATCGGCTTCTTCACTAAAATAAAAATAAATATTAACTACAGGAGGGTTTAAATACAGTTCACCTACGCTTCATATGACTTCTTCGTATCTTCATTTTCCTCATCAGAATCGGGTGCTACAATGGCTTCAAACCATTGTTCAGGATTCCCACTGAAAACAGAGAAAACAAGTAGAATATGACCATATAGAGGTTTTCCTCATACACTATATTCATAATAGCTTGAACACGATTTCTGGAGATAAAATATTTCTCTCGCACGCCGTAATAACATTGAATATCTGATTCCATTTTGCCATGAGTGTAGACACGTGCCATTGCTGTTTCTAATATTTTACGAATTTCATCTCGTCGTGGCAATACAATCAAATCTTCTGAAAGAATATAATATTACATTCTTAATTTTAATCTACTGTCCATGGCTGATGCGAATTGGTCAGGATCGGGAAGTTCGAAAAATTTTTTGGGAAAAGTTGGTGATTTTTTCGTTGTCAATTTCAATTCTATATCTTTTCTGAGGTTTAAAAACAATTTCTACATAAACCATTCCACTTCTATACCAGTTTTTTTCTAATAGTCTTCCCAAGTATCTTCAAGCGGATATCAAGCGGACCGCTTGAATACCAACTAAAGGGCGATTCAAAAGTTTAGGTACTTTGAAAAAAAGCTAAGTTTCTTTCTTATTGTCAGTGGAAAAAGCTCAAACAAGTATTAATAAGTATAACATTGTATAATTTCATGGTTGTAACTATCTCAGTAAGGAAGATGCGTTGATTGATATAGTACATGTTGTTTGTGCGGGAGGATGATCAATTTCTTGTAATTCGTCTGCAGTTTTACTTGCTGACCATGGAGAATGTAAATGGTGTACAGAAAAGTTTTGTTTTCTTAGTTCGACATATTTTTTAACATTATTTGTTATATTCGTTAAATCTTAAAAAAAGAAAGTCTTTCGTGGTTCAGAAAAGCGAAAACGGGATATGTATTAAAAACGTTTTCGAAACATAAAAAGCCTACATGTACTATATCAATCAACGCATCTTCCTTACTGAGATAGTTACAACCATGAAATTATACAATGTTATACTTATTAATACTTGTTTGAGCTTTTAAAGAAACTTAACTTTTTTCCAAAGTACCTAAACTTTTGGATCACTCTTTATCTTTCTAGCCCTTCAGGCCACTCAATCCACTGTTCTAATACTTACTTAATGTTCCTTCTTCAGATGGTATTGTTACTCTCAATTGAACGTTGTCTTCGTCATCACGTTGTAATCGATATTGAAAACTTGAATGTGATTTATCTGGGTAGTGTCTTGATAATTCACCTGTTTGTAGATCTAAACAAAGTAAAATTGAGTACACATACTGCACACATATTACGCTCGTTACCTTCTTGAACGAATTTTAACACTTTCGAATGCAGCTCTCTATTCACACCAGGATAATTACGCCATTTTACGGCTTCGGCTTTGATAGCCTCTTTTTCAACTGTTTTCACGAAATTTTCTGAAAAAGTCAACATAAGTCGTTCACTTTCCAAAAAGCCGGCCGTATTTACCGAATGTTTTTGCTTTTCGTAGAAAATTAACTTTGAACTTCACCATGCTGAATAAGCAAATCTTGAAAGATAATAACAAAAAAATTTTAGTCTGTCTTAAGCACTTATGAGATTAAAAAAGAAAACATCAACCAAACCAATCAGCTTACCCGACGTTTTACTTAAAAACACAGAAAACTTTAGCTCCACGGCTTGTCCAAACGTAGCGCTGTTACGTTTTTGACACACTTTTTTTCAATTATCTCGGAAAGTTTGAGAGCTCTTGCTAAAGTCCTAATTTCCTGCGAAAGTCGTTCTCCAAATGAAATGCCTCTAGAGCAAATTTTGTAGAGCGTCGAACGAGCTTTTCAGCGGTAAAAAAAGTTTTCTTCTAACTGTTTTACTCGCGTAAAAAAAGCAAAAAACAAACTTAACGCTGTTACGCATTTTTTTGTCACACCATTTTAGGGCACTCAACGTTGTTCAAACAACTTCATACTTATAGCTTGAGTACTTCTGGCCTTCCTGAAGATACTTCACTTGCAAATAAAGTTCCAAAAGGTTGTCTCAGGATTTAAATCGAGTCGGAAGTTCAAACATGCAAGCAGCCCTTGTGCCTTGACTGAGAAATATTTCTCAAAACAAAATGAGCCATTTTGTAGAGAATTGAATTCTCTGTTCGACGGTGTATTATTAAAATTTTTTTACGAAAATCTCCAGGTCCTAAAATTAAAACTTTCAAAAATTTTAAATTTAAATTTTTTAATTGAAAATTCAGTTTTTTTTCTCAAAATAAAGGCCGAATTCGTGATCAGCATGAAAAACTACGTTTGATGATGGGCTCCTATGGATTTCCCGATGAAAAAAATAAAAACAAAACTTGATCACCGAAATGTCGCGTTATGTGGACAAGTCGTCCAACACTTTCTTTTCGCGGCAGAAGTACAGCTTCCGCTTATCTATGAGTTAGTAGTGCCCTTTTACTCGCTCTCTCCCTGACATAAGTTTTGCTTCTTTTCCAAGCCTTTTCTGTCAAACTCGCTTCTTTTACATTCTGCTAGTCGCATAGTAACATACAGAAGACTAAATTATAAATTATTGGTTGCATCTTTTGATTCTTCTTTCCTCCTTTCTTTCGTTTTCTGGATGCTCGCTTCATAAAAGCTGGACATTTCACTATTGGTCAATTTAGACAAATTCTCATCCACAGGCGACAGGCACAGGCAAAATCGACAGGCAGATTATACTTACCCACCATTACCCCCCTCTCACCCACTCTATTCATTTTACTTAACCGCAGTGTAACCATTGATATGAAATGTTTATAGAGAACGCCTGTAAACATTGGTTAATTTGGTTACTATTATAGGAATAGAGAGTCTGAACTTCAGTTACTTATCTCATTTTTTATAATCTAACAGGAGCTTTCCTCACAGTTCAATAGGTGAGAAAGTCTCTTCTAAGAATGCGTCTTCAATAACTACTTAAGACTTGATAATACCTAGATAATTCATGAATGGTCAAGGTATGTGTCCAATCTCTCGCAAAGCGGATGATTGATCAATGAATCATCAACCGCATCGCATAAACAGAACACAGGGGATTTCTTTAGTATTCGTATATTATCTTAAGCTCATGAGCAGACTTAGGTCAACTTTTAGTTTGTTTTATTATGTCACTTTACAGTATTGACCTAAGTTAACTGTGGACATGTCTTGAATCAACACTTCAGGGAATCCCCTCAACTATTTTGAAAAAATTTTGAATTTTGAGCTGAGCATATCCTAATGTAGAGGAAAATCTAAGTTACAAAATGAGACCACCACCAATATTTTACGACCTTCCCTGAATATGTTATGAATTTTTTAAGTTTTTCCTTCAAAGCCTGAAAAAACTTAGTTTGTTAGTCAAAACTCAATGTTGTAGTTTTATAAACTTTTCTCTCATTCCTCTACTCTCAAAATTTTTGTTTTATACATAGTCTGTTTGATGAAAGTGTTCTCTTCACAATGAGACCTCTTCGAAAATTTTTCGATAGTTTTTCGTGAAGATATAAGCGTTGCCGTGAATGCCATGAGGGAAAACGACCTATGTACGAAATGTGTTTTTCTTACGGTGTGTTTTTTCAATAGTCTCTTCAATACGGTCACATTATGACTCCTCGATAACGTGATCGCATCGACTTCAAAAACTCTATCATAAATACTAGACAACATTGCCCATGTCTAGGTTTTTGTTTTTTCGTTCTATCATCTTTTCTTTCCCAGTTATAGCAAAAATACTGAAAAACCGGATCGCAATGGAACGATATCAAAAACTAAGTTTTCTAGAAAACTTGAGAACCTTGATAGCTAGAGAGTTGCAACAAGAATGAAAAGATGCTCAATTGAGTTTTTAATCAATCCTGAAGAAGATTTTGTCATTTTTAGCTTATGCTTGACACTATTCCTACGGAAAGTTCCTTACCTCAATCAAAGAGTTCCTTAAGAATATTGATGAAGCGATACCTCATTTCTGTATAGTACTAAATTTCAGCGATTCTATATGATGCAATGTCAAGAATAAAGATAGAAATTGTAGATGATATTTTCTCCTGGATAGCAAACGCTTTTTAGGTAAAGGCCATTGAAATTTTGAAATATTGTGGAACATACGATGAACTCCGTTATATTATCTCTTTTGATATTTTGCACACTCTTCTTAACCATAACAGGTATAATGATTAATTCGACAAGTAAATTCATATCGTATTATATTTTTTCTTTTTCTTTGTATTAGCTGTCACAATTGAAATAATACGTAATCCTCACATTCGTGAACGTACACGTACAGATATATCATCAACATTTCATGCATTTAAATATTATATTGTACCACGAGAGGTTCAATTCTATGTCAATCCTATAGAAGATGCTCAAATCAAAATTTCTTTTCTCCTAAAATGTGAAGGCAGAAAACATGTGCCCGATTTTACTATACCAGATGGTGCTAAACCGGTAATTTATATCTCATATTTTTTCCATCTTGCATCTTTCAAACACTAATGTAAACAGCGAGAATTAGTAAAATACTTGTATGAAGATTTCAAATATGGCTTTTGAGAAAGATTTCATTTTATTGTGTTATTCTAATATTTCATACGTAGAATAGTTTGATTTTTTGTTTTCTATTTAGCATCTATCGATATTAGAAGACTTCTCGTCGAAGACAACTACGTTACGATTAAAAAATAAATTGACTACAGAACTAGTTGGCCGATATAAGTGTACAGAAAAAATTAATAATAATGTAGAAGAGACTGCAATATACGTCTTCATTTATGGTAATGCTCTACATTCTCACTTGAGCTCCAACAGAATGTTTCCCCTTTGCTTGCTATCAAACTAGTTCAAATGTTTTATATTTTACAATAATTAGCTTGATCTTTATTTAGACAGCAAAACGATATTTACGAAATCATCATATCCAACTGTAATGAAACAAACGGGTGTACATTATTTTAATTTACCATGTCAAACTGCAAACTGGTTTACAAATATGAATTGTCTCTCTACGAACAATGAATGTATACTTGTTCACTACACACCACAACTTCAGGCTCATGTAAGTGTGTGTGTAAATATCTAAAGCACAGGTCTCTCTCACTATCAATCACAAGAATTTTCTTATTTGTTTTAGGAAATTTATTTTGATCCTCAAATTGGATTTGCTCTTATAAATCCACAATTTCCTGCTGATAATTCAAAAATTTTGTGTAAAGCCGACTTCGGTAGAGGCGCTGTAGCAACTGTTCCATACGTGGCTTCAGCAGGTTTGTTTTGAATATCTCTCCTATACACTCAATACCTGCCAAAACATACCATCATTGCTGTGTTGAGAGAAACAAATAAGCTCATAACTTGAAACTTTTATTACTGTTAATTTTACTGAAAAGTGGTCAATACATCAAGAGTCATCTACAAAGTTTAGTGTAAATTTCGAGAACCTTAAAAATTTAGCTATTATCTGATATTTACACCATTATTAGCTGACATTCAGTGTTAATCTCTCTAAAAATTTGTAGTAGAGAAACCAGACGAATATAACCATTTGAAACATAGAACAATCAAAGCTTCATTTTATATTGTTCCTTTGCGGTATAAAAGAATCACAAAAGATACTTTGAAAATCAAAAATAATGACAGATATGAGATATCAAATTTTGATTTGTATATTATTTCAAACGACTATATCCTTTTGGGTGAAAAAAATGAGATATTAAAGGAAGTATGCATCCAATGAGCTTACAATTCTTGCGTAGCCAACAAATGACAAGGTCTACAGTACAGTTGTACAAAATCTTCAAAAAAGGACTTATTTGATTGTCAAGATACAGAATGAGAGTATTGTTTGTAGAGTAGTACATACAATGTTTCAATTTCTATTAGCTGAATTTGTACAAATTCGTCAATCAAGTCTAACAGTTTTGTCCGATGAAAAAGTCGATTTAACATGTGAAATACGATACGGAGTGAAAATTACGTCAAGACCACCCATTGTTTTTTGGTTTAATGATACAAATAATGTAAGTGAAACATGTTCTTTTTGTTTATTTACTCTATTACTTTTGGTGTGGTTGTTGTTCTAGTTAATTGTACACTCAAATGATACACAGAAGCCTGTGTTCAATACTGAAACTCAACTTTTTGAACAAACTACATCAATACGATTAAGTGGTTTTGTACCGAAACAATCGTATGTATTACATTGTGTTCGTATATCAGAACAAGGAACATACTCCCAGAGTGTTCAAATTGATTGTCAAGAATGTAATTGTTAAATAGATATGAATTTTGTCAAATACTGTTATATATTATTCTGATTTTTATTCTAGCTGCTGATGTCACTCTAGACATTATACCACATGATTCAGAAAATGAAAAAGTTGTTTACGGTGGAAATATTGCATATGATATACAAGTTCTTACCGTACCACGTTCTACCTCATTATTGACTATCGATATAATGAGAAATAATACGGCTGTGAAAGATGAACGGTTCAATCTAACTCTCACGTATGTATATATTTTACTGTAGACCTTCTACCCTGATCGTCGATTCTTATGTAAAGATCAGTTATAAAACATACTGGAAACTTATAAGTATCAAATACGATTCGTGTAAGACTCGAATCATGTTACCAGATTCTTGAACAAGATTCTGCAGGAAAATCCCAAGAATTTCACAAAAGTCCTATAAAAGTCTGGTAAGAGTTTCATAAGAACTCCATAAGAAAGTGATAAGAACTCTTATGTAATTCTTATGTTTTTCCGTGTGAAGTTTTTAATTGAAAAGATTTTCATTGGGATTTAGAGACTTTGCTTTGTAAGTTGATCTATTCAGTCCTATATGAAGAAAAATTGACTGTTCAGGGAACAATTCCTGGGAATTTTCTGCAGAATCTTGTTTAAGAATGAACTTGATAAAATTTTGTTAAAAGATTTCTGTCTAGAGTAACATTCTCTTTTAAACACGAACAAAAACTTAATTAAATTTTTCTCAAAACTATTCACAAAATGCTCAATACTTACTTATTTTTATCAAGTTAATTACAATTGCTGTAAGACCAATGTTCTTTAAAATGACTTTTTCACTCTAGTTTTTCTTATTTAAATGTATAAGTTTGTAGAGAGGCTCTTGTTTGCCGTTTCACATTTAGATCTTACAAGGGAACCTATCGAACTGTTACTTCGCTTTTTCAGCCAAATCCAGTGGATTATAGGTATTCGACCACGCTGATTCCGAATATGAACAAGAGAGCTGTCCTTAGGCCTTTGAAAGTCTGGTTTTCTGGAAAACCAGTTTTTCATAAACTCTAAAAAAACAACCAAAACCTTTCTTAATGAGCTATGATTGTAGCCCGCACATTTCTGATTAAAATGAGACCTCTTCCAGTTCTACATGACTTTTCTTTGCAAAGTTATAGAATTTACAAGAAAAGCCCTAAATGTTCATTGTCAACTCAAAGCTACAGAAATAAGAAATAAAGGACACCGCCGGATAAGTAGCGATATCTGCCACCCTACGTTTTCATATTCTGAAGACATGGTCAGATAGAACTCACTCTGGCGAACATGAATATGATGTCAGAAACGTTCAGAACCACTTAGG